AGCCAATATAAAGTCTTGAATTGCATTATCCAATGATCTAGTTTTTAATAATTACACTTAGCCCTTTAACTTCCAAGAGATCCAATCAGTAATTCTCCCAACTGACTGCCATACATTTCTTTCTAAATTAGACTATATAGAGAATTAGACTATATAGAGAATTTGGTCCTATATCAACTGAAGATTACACTAAGCTGATGAGCTTGTCTGTTCTCATAAACTATTTGCAACATAACATATGTTAATTGCAATGAGAAGTTGCAACTTAATTACTTCAGTCTGCAAGTTGAAGGTTTAAGCTTGTTTACCATCATTTAAGAAATGATAATGGAAATTTATCAAAATATATTTCACTCCACGGTTGCTTCTTTCTCCAGTTTTTGGGTTAACAATGAACTCTTCTTTGGTGTGGATCATTTACACTTTGTAGAGAGAGCTTTGGGAAATAAATCAGCTGCCCCACCAAGGTTTCACCCAAACCCTACTGAACCCAGAAAAGCTAAACTGACAATCTACCACGATTTCTCCAGTCCTTGGAGCTATATCGGTTCAACACAGGTAATGTTATTGCTGTATAACAAGTAGAAAGAGGAGTGAAAGAAAAAGTCAAAGCAGATGCATATAAAAATGCAGACTGCCCTCACATGTGACAAGTATGCAACCGTTAGCCCCTTAACCTTGTATCTCCTGTGAGTGACAGGCTTCTAACTTCTCCTTACAATATCACCCTCAGATCAAATATAACGGGCACGAGAATAAAGGAAATGATCACCAATTGCAAAAGCTCCTGATTGTCAATCAAATTCTCCTTGGCAGAACCATAGGATATGTAGAGAGAACAGTATGGAGAATATCAATTCTAATATTAAGGTGTAAAGGGTTAAACATTAGATCTGAAAGTTACTTCTGAATCAGTAATACTTCCCAATTTTTTATGATATGTTTGGTTGTTAGACAGAGCTGAAGAGTTGGTGTTAGGTGAAGAAAAGTATCTCCTAGTTCAACTTGATATAATTGTACTTCTCATGGCTTTGTTGCTGGACAGTGTCTGGCTGGAGAATCACAAGGAGAGTTTGGTTACTAATCATAACTGCAAACCAGGGGGTTTAAGAAACTACACTCCCATGCTTCAGACATTTGTTAGCCAGGGTCCATCTTGGATTCAATCTTGCAGTGCCATTGGAATAAATTATACCTGCAATCTTTATTTGCATTAAGCAATGTTATTGAATCAGAGAATAAATATTATTATTAGCATTGCACACAGCAGCAGTCAAAGTAAGAAAATGAATATTTCTTTTTAAACAAGATCGCCAAGTTGGTGGCAGAAGTTCATCCAGTATCAGTTGAGGTTGAATGGGTGCCAATTTCAGTTGGAGCTTTGTTTAAGATGATAGGAACACCAGTGGTGAGAGAATTCGATTGATTTGTGTACTTAAGAAGTCTCTTCCTTTTAAAGGAGGGACGTCTACTTTAGACTCGGGTGTCCCATACAGGGTTAACTATTTGGACCACTCATTTTTATCAAACTCTACAACAATGTTATTTATTTCCTCTTTCTCTTACCATATACATGTATCTTTGAAGGTTCCAATGCAAACGATCAGTGAAGCTAAGAGAGAATATGGAAGCAAAGACCTACAGGAGTGGGCAAAATATCATGGGATTCAGTTCCAGTTCACATCCCATTTTCCCTTTCGTTCCATTCTTCCACTGAGAGTGACGCTTGTAAACCCAGATGACCGACTGCGACAAACTATGTGTGAGTAGTAAAAACTCGCGCACAGCTGCATAGTGTGCAAGATCTTTTTTGCTACTCAGTGATGAAATCCTGAAATTTTGGCCTTTAACTAAGATTCTGTTTTTTATTCCTTGAGACTTGCTTTGTGTGAACGATTTTCTCTTTGAATAATCTCAATCAACCGACAATTATCTCAGTATGGGTCAGGCAAAATCAAGAATGTGCACACGCCTTGATCCTGTTTTTCTTTCCCTCACTTTCAGATGAAGCCGGTTGGCGATATGATAGGGACATTGGCGATCCTAAGGTGTGGTCTGATTTCACATGTACATTCAAAACTCCAGGGTAAATTACCTTTCCTCGCTCATCACTTCTAAATTTCATATCATTTTGGCATTAAGCTTCGACAATGCTTTTCCAAGCTGTATGTAAGATGCTTGTCACTTCAGATTCGAGTATGTGAATGTAGGCATGGCTAAAGTTCTCTTTAGTTCAGCTGGTACCCACTTTACCATCTGAGGTTCATTGGCTTAATTCCATATCCTGGCCGTTTTCTGTCTTAGTTACAAATGAAGGTCGCATTTTCTCTGTCGACAAAGTAGGTCACTAACTTAGGAATTCAGCTAATACACCACCTCCCATTTCCCTAACATTCAAACTTAAGGCCAGCGCTCTTTCACTTTCGGTGGAAATCTTTCCCTCAGTCCCAGTCCCAGACAATTTTCCAAGTTGCTCACAAACATAACACAAGAAATGATGGACCTTATCTCTTGGCTGGAGAAAATTTAAACTGAGTGTTGAAACTGATTAATCATGCATTCGTTTTTCTTAACTTCGCCGTGTGTTTTCCTAGAAACCTTGTACCATCATCTGAATCAATCAGGTGCAAAACCTTGCCATTTGCGTTGTCCGGTGCTTTGTGGAGTTAAATGGCTTTTTTTCTTAAATGTTTGCCTCTACCATGATTGGCTGTCAAGTTGTGTTTACTCAGTTATACAATTTACGACAATCAATAGAAAAACTCTCTAATCGCAAGTAAAGGAAGTTTGAGAAGCAAACTAGGCTGCAGGCTGGTTCATGCATTAGGAAGACTCGCTTACTAGTATCTTACTCAGTGGCACTCGAGAGGCTGAGCGGTAACCGGTCAAGTCGCCCGAAGTCATGTTGCCCGGAACCAGAGTCATTTTGCCTGAAACTCATAGTCATGTTTTGGATATATCAACAAAGTTGAAATGGTAAATTGGCCAGCTTTTGTAATCATTACGGTGGCCAATTTACCATTTCAACTTTGTTGATATATCCAAA